ACAGACACGTATTACATAAAGGCCTTTATTCTTAAGGATGTAGCCATCAGTCATTTTAGGCCCATGGACACTTGGTTCTTTAATACAGATTGTCATGCTCCTGCCTCAGTTGTAGATCTGGGCAATTTCCTTCCACCACAACAGGACTGGTGAGGTAGAATTGTGATCCCCAACCATCCCTTTGTAACAGTGGAAGCCTGAATCCAAGATCCCCAGAAGGAAGAGGTTATTAGTGCTCAAAATGAGAATTAGATGTAGGAAAGGAAAGAACAACATCTTTTCGGTCTCAAGGAGAGTCATTTTGTATATGATAGAGTCCACCGGCACATAGCTCTTTTTAAATTCTTGTTTGCATATTGAAATGTTTCTGTTTGTTGATAATCGTTAAATCCTTAAGAAATATTTTTTTTAAATGAGATACAAAAGATCCTTAGGTACAAACTTGAGAAGAGATCCAATTGGAAAAGACTTTTGAATTCCAACCTCCACCTACAGAGGGATGGATCATGTGAAGAAGGGTATAGCAAAGCCTGGGCTGTTCCAGTTCCAGAGAGAGAAGGAAGGAGATAGAGAGAGTGACGGATCTGGAACCACTCTCCCTAGGCAACACAACAGCTTGACAAAAAGACCTCCTTTGGGAGAAAAAGGTTAAGAATGTAGTGAAACTGCGGGAAGCTGCAAGTGAAGGCTCAGACCTGGTATCCCATCTGAGAGTTCCTATGGGGCAGAGGTTCCTTCAGCGAGTACATGTGGCCCAAAATCTAGATGGAAAAGTCAAGTCAACAAGAATTTCTTAAGTGCCTACTGTGTGCCAGGCACTGTGCTGAGCACAGGGAATACAAAGAAAGGCAAAAACACAGTTCTTGTTCTCAAGAAGCTCTCAGTTTAAGAGGGGAGAATAAAGGCAAATAACTATGTTCAAACAAGAGACATAAAGGATAAATTGTAAATATTTGCAAAGAAAAGGCACTAGCACTAAGGAAAATCAGGAAAAACTTCTTACAGAAGGTGAGATTTTATAAACTTAATTAAACCTCAAAAAATTATGCCTAGAAGCCCAATGAGTATACCGAATATTTGTAATCTTTTAGCCAGAAGGCAACATTTATGGAATATCACAGCATGTATAACATGAAGGTAAATGAGTGAGGTAAATTTTCTCTTCCGGGCCAATGAGGCAGATTTGGCCCCTGCTCTTCTCCAAGAACAAGATGGAACTAAGGAGGAGTTAGGAGTGGGGGGAGGGGAAGGGCAGGGCTTGTTGTCAAACACTGATGAAAATGTCCACAAAAGGAGGGACAGCTGTGTACCTGAAGATGGGAAGAGGACTCAGTTATTTTCTTTAGAACTTACCCTTAACACTAGTATCAAGGCATGGTGGGAGAAACTAGCCCTGGGTGGGGTGAGTATCTGGGCAAGGAAAACAGATAGTGTGTAGGAGGCATGTCAGTGAGTGAGACAGAGATAGGGAGTGTTGGGATCTTCAGAAATAGGTATGTATTAAGGCTAGGATTGCTAACCTTTGCAGGCGTATGAAGACCCAGCCAATGCAGCAAGGAGTTGGGCTGTATTCTGTGTTCTACTCCTCCAAACTCTGATGAAATGATACTAGTACTAGGGATCCATGGTTCTATATCACCATCTAATCTATGTTACTCTCTAGGTACTGCATTAAAGAGTATATAGGTGTTTAGCATGATTGAACATGTATAACCTGTATCAGATTGCTTACTATCTCAGGGAGGGGGGAGGAGAGAGAGGAAGAGAGAAAATTTGGAACTCAAAATTTTAAAAAAATGAATGTTAAAAATTACCTTTACACATAATTGGGAGAAATTTTTTTTTAAAAGAAGAGTATATAGGAAGGGCAAATTTCTGAGCTCCGTATAATCTCAGAATGGTTAAAGAGCAAATCTGAGAGGAATAATAAGAAAACATGGAGCACAGAATGTGAGTGACAGTACAGTGAATAGAAATAGTAGGTCCCTCACTAATGCACTATTGGTGGAGTTGTGAACTGGTCCAATCATTCTGAAGAACAATTTGGAACTATGCCTAAAAGGCTATAAAACCCTGCATACCCTTTCATTCAGCAATGCCACTACTAGATCTGTATACCAAAGAGATCAAGGAAAAAGGAAAAGGACCTATTTGCATACAACTATTTATAGCTTCTTTTTTTGTGGAGATAAAGAATTGGAAATAGAGGGGATGTGCAACAATTGGAGAATGACTGAACAAGTTTTGGCATATGATTGTGATGGAATACTATTGTGCTATAAAAAATGACATGGGAGATGGTTTTAGAAAAACCTGGGAAGACATATATGAACTGATGCAAAGTGAAGTAAGCAGAACAAGGAGAACACTGTACATAGTAATAGCAATTGTAATGATGATCAACTGTGAAAGACTTAGCTACTCTGATCAATATTATGATCTAAGACAATTCTGAAGGACTCATGATTAAAAAGTGCTAGCCATCTCCAGAGAGAACTGATGAGCTCTGCATACAAACTGAAGTATAATTTTTTCACTTTATATATTTTTTGCCTTTTTTTTTTTTGCAATTTGGCTAATGTGGAAATATGTTTTGCATGATTTTGTATATATAATTGATATCATGTTGTTTGCCTTTTCATTGGGTGGTGGGGGAGGGGCTGGAGGGAGGGAGAGAATTTGGAACCCAAAATTTTAAAAAAGGTATATTGTGTATATATGTGTGTATATATACATATATATGTATAATATACATATACATATGTATGTGTATACATATATAAATAAAGAAAGCAAAAGAAAGAAATGGCAAGTCTTGATGCCTTGAACATGAACTGAATGCCTTGAACATGAACTGAATGATCTTCAGAATGTAGTTCTAGAACAGCTAGGTAGCACAGTGGTTAGAGTACAGGAGTTGGAGTGAGGAAGACTTAAGTTCAAATTCTGCCTCAGGTACTTATTATTATTTAAATTACAGAGTTTCAGCAGAAATGGAGAGATGAAGTTTAGAAGTAGAATCAACTTTTCCAGTCTACTAATTATACCTTATTTTTTTTTAATCTTCAATCACACTGATCACCTTCTAGTATGTCTTTTATATGACAAAACTGGATATAAAAAAAAATGAAAAATAAAACCCTGGATATCAGCTTTTTTTTTTATTAGATCTGGTACATTTTTATAAGTAAAATTTAGAAAATTATATTTTAAAAATAAAACTCTAACACAGCATGATTTCTTCATAACAAGTCACAGAAGATGCATGTCCTCAATACCTTTTAAAGCAGCATAATTAAGGATTAGAAGCTGACTTGGAAACATTGATTCTGCCTCTTTCCCCTAAAGAGAGGGACTGGGGGTGGAAGGTGTGAATTCCTTCATAACCCAGTCAAATGAAATGATGGTTGATGAGTAAGTTTTGGAAGCTGGGTGTGGTGGCAAGAAAATGGAACTGCCTATAATCTAGTAACCTAGGGATTATGCCAACATGAGTTAACCCCCCAATTTGTAAGGTGGGGCTCCATACAGAGATCCCAGAGAAGGTATGGATGTTCCTGGTCCCTTGAGTTGGGAAGGGTGGATTAGAAGTTTTTTATTAGTAAAAAAAAAAATAGTCAATATTAGCTGTTTGCAAGAAAGTAGGTATGGTGCATTGGAAAGGCTGCTGGGTTTGGAATCATCTTTGTTCTTCCCTTTACTGTCAATGTGGCATTGGGCAAATAAATGACTTTACCTCTCTGGGTCTTTGTTTCTTTGTTTATAAAATGGAGACCAGATGACCTCTAGGGTCCCTGGAGTTCTAGATCTATGATAACCATGAGTTTGACGATGCACATCACTGATTTTCTGTTTAACAATGGCCACAGCTGACTTCATTATTCTAACCACAGTTTTGATTTTAAGGTAACAATGTGAACTTTTACAATTAATGGCTTTAAGCACTCTCAAACGTACTGCTATATTTTAAAACTCATCTTTAGAGCATTGCTAGGAGATTGCTCAATTATTGGTCCTTGCCTGGTTATGCTACTGACAAAAATCAGGCAACATATAAAGCATCTTCAAGGCTCATCTTATTCTGCAGTACTCTGCCTGTGTTTCCCCTTCATCATTTTTTTCTGCCTTTTTTCTTTGCTTTGAAACGGCAGCCAGGACTGCCAGCAGAGGTTCCTTGGGGACTTGAAGAACATAAATTAGTTTCACAGTTGGAGGCAGATGCTTTCCTTCGGGAACACTTTTCACATAAAATAAACTAGGCTTTGTACTGGTCAGGGTAGACAAAGGGTTAAATTTTCAAAGCTGCCTGGCAATGGCTGATTCATAGATCTTCTACCCCTTTCTTCCCCTCCCCCTCCCCCATACATATCCAGCTGCCTCAGCCCTCCTTCCTTCTTTTCTGTCTCTGTCTCACTCCTACTTCCGGAATGATTGCATTCGCACTGAATTGTGGTTCTCTATCACAAGCCTGAAACAGTACACTTCTACCCCTGAGAGGGCAATAACAGAAATGGCTATTCTACAGGAACATGGTCCTTCTTCCTCCAAATAACAAGAATTTAAAATCCAAATCCGAAACTCGAAAGGAAATCCTAAATGTAAATGCCACCTTTCAATTGGCAAATCATCTATCTCTTCCCCACCTGCTCCCATTTCTCTTGTGAATACACTGGCATGCACACAGGGACCTAAATGCTTAATGCATTTTTTTCCCCTTCACTCTGAGTTAATGGTGCCCATAGACTAAGAATTAAATGCTCACACAAATAAATCTCTCTTCTCCACCCTATTTAAGAGAGAAAATATTAAGAGGGAGGGAGGGGTAGAAAAGAAATTATATGACTAGACATAGTATATAAACACTGCAGTAAATTTCTGTTAATCCATACTAACTAGCCGCCGGTCATTCTGAGAATTGTTGATGACCTTTGTAATTTTACAAATGTAGACAGACCAGCAAGACGGAGGAGCTGAGAAACTCAGTGTGTCGAGTGGCATACCTGTTGTTCCTACATTGGATTGTGAAGATGAGAAAGAAGAGTACCAGAAGAAGTCCACCACTGAGGGAAGTCCACACGATGCCCAAGAGGACAGAAGACAATGAGGAGGTGGGCTCAGTGCCAAGGTCGGAAGAGGTCTGAGGAAGGGAATAAGGAACAGTAGTTAGGAATGAAGGCTCTTCCATAGAGCAAACACAAACTGACAAGGATACTCATCTAGATTTGGGAAATACATGCCACTGAGGTAACGTCAGGGATTGGGACACAAAATAATAGATCCCATTGACAAAACATTTTGAAGCACTGTTCAGAGAGGCAGTGTGGGGCAGTGAATAGGTAACTGCCCTTGAACCTTGGTTTAAATCCGGCCTCTGACATATACTGGCTATATGATTCTGGGCAAGTCACTTAACCTCTCTTGGTTCTAGGCAACTCTCTAAGACTATAGGTTGTGGAAAAGACATTGACCTACGTAAGTGGAGGGACTTTCCTCATCTGGGAGTTCCCTATACCAATGAAATCAGAGGTTTGGTTCCTATCCTCTCTAAGACTAACAAAGTGTTTTCCTTGAAACAACTCTGATAGATGGTGTAGTAGGAGTAGTAATAATAATAATGATGATGATGATGATGTTGATGTTGATGATAGCTAGCATTTCCATAGCACTTTAAGGTTCAAAAAGTACTTTATAAATATTATGCCATTTTATCCTAAAAATAACCTGGGGGGGTAGTGGAGGTAGATGCTATAATTATTACCATTTTAAAAATGAAAAAAGTAAGACTCTAACAATTAAGTGACTTACCCAAGGTCTTACATTTAAGGACTTGAACCCAGATTTTGTCTTCACTCTTTTCACTATGCCCCTCAAAGATAGGACAGTCTGGCTCAAATGATTGACATGTGTCCCTTGTCTGGAATGTTCTCTCCCCTCCCACCTGACTCTCCAAATCGAACCCATCCTTAGTTGAATTAATGAAGGTCTTGGGGAAGACATGACAAAACACACCTCCTTCATGAAGCTCAAATAATATATCTACTGTCACACCAAGTTATTATATAGGATGCTTTTGCTTAACTTTTTCTTTATCACAAGAGAAGAGTTAATGTGGAGGGGGTGGGAAACTGATATAAAGACAAAAGTCATCAATAAAATGTATTTTCCAAAAAAAAATCCTGCCCAGCTCAAGTCCCATTCCTCTGTGAAGTCTTTAACTTCTTCAATCTCCAATAATGTTTCCTTTCTCTAAACTACCACTGTTCTTCTTACTAACAGATATGATTTCACAGGGCTACAAAAGATTGAAAACTCCAGGTTTATCTGGACCAAGGGTGGGGAACCTTCGGCCTCGAAGCCATAGGTGGCCCTCTAGGTCTTCAAGTGCGGCATTTTGACTGACTGTGAAGTTTGGATTCAGTCAAAGGGCCACACTTAAAGATCTAGAGGGCCACATGTGGCTTTGAGGCCTCAGGTTCCCCATCCCTGATCTGTGCCAAGATAAAGTGCAGGGTCATTAATTTTGGAGTTCAGTGGACCCATGCTCCCATGGTAATGAACAATGGCAAACTGTGAAAGCTTTCCCCTCTCCATACAGGGTATGTACATATCTTCTATGTGCCTATATATGTACATATATGATATATATGTTTTATAGACATACATACATACACAGACACAAAGAGACATAGAGACACATATATATGTGTGTGTGTGTATGTATTCTTTCCATTCCAATGTAAACTCCTTGAGGGCAAGGTCTAGCTTTTCTTTTGTTTTGTTTTTGTATCCCAAGCACTTGGCTCAGTACCCAGTACATAGCAATAAATGTTTGTTAATTGATCATTTGAAATATAAATAAAAATGTTGAATGACAGGGCTTTCAGGAATAAGGCACAGAAAAGGCCTGAAGGAGGTGAGAATGAGGAGTAGAGAATAATAGGTAAGAAATGCAGGGCTTTCTCCCTCTTGCTTTCTATTTTCCTTTACTCCTCTCAAAATCTTTCTCTCAGCCCCTTCTTTTCTCCTCTGTTCATAGCATTGAACTGAACTATAGGTATTATATAATTTTTACTTTTTGTGATATTTTTAAAAGAAAATTTTTTGTCCTGTATTTTTAATTAATGGGTGAGTTCAGCTCACCTCAAAAAACAAACAAACAAAAAAAACAATGAATTAGCTGTACGTAGCTTTTTACTTGTGTGTGACCCTTGATTGATTTTTTTCTGGGGATCAGTGGCCCTGAATAGGAAAAAGAAAGTTCCCTACCCTGATGTAAAGAGATCCTAAGAAGAAGGAATGATCTTAACCTTGAATGTACACTAGGTGGTAGTAATTTTCATGACTATTATTAAGCTGAGTAGAGAACTCTGATCTTTACTTATTGCAATAACAAAGAGAAAGGTCAAGGTGGATGATTGTAGTGTCTAAAGGCATCCTGTGATTGCTCTGCTCTACCTTACACACACACATACACACCCCACACCACTCTCTCCCATCCAGCTTCCACATGTTCCCAACCACCTACCCATTGGATTACTTTGTCTCCCACACACTAACCTACTATGTCCTCACCTGCCTCTTTTCCTACTATTCTGGTTGTGTTTTTGTGTATATAGCTTGGTGGATATTACAGCAACTGGGTGGCCCCTAGGAGCCACCTGGGAACAATAGAGAAGCAATTTGCTGCCAAACTGCTTATATTGATAGGGCACCACTGGCAACCTTGAACCTGGTCCTTACCTTCTGTGGTGACAGTTTTCTAAGATCCCGTAATCAGACCTGCAAGTCCATAGTGGTCCCTGTGCCATCAAAGTGTTTGAAGCTGTTGGCCCAGTAACAATACAGTATAATAGGACCATTGGTGATTGTTCCATGCTGCATGGAAAATCCATGGATCTTCCCTGGGCCTCATGGACAGAAAAAAAGGAAAGCTACAGGATTTCCTCTGATCCACCCAGAGCATGGATCTGTAGCTATAGTATGTGCCTGTATAGGTATCATGTATATATGCAGCCATGTGTGGGAGCTAAAGTATACTGGATATGTGTCCATATGTGCCTCTGTGTACATTTCTATCAGTAACCCTATGTAAATATATTTGGGGTGCATATAGATATGCACACATATTTGTGTGTATGTGTATGTTTTTATGTTTTACACTATCTACTCAAGTGTTTCTCCCCTGAATTGGGTTTCAATTGAATTGCGTCCATCTCTCCACTAGGGGATCCCTAGTTAAATGAATATGACCTTTAAATCAAGGTTTGGTGAGTGTAGCTACTGATACTTGTGCCTATCCTGGTCTCTACTGGACAGACTCAGCATCCCCTTTGATAGTGATGTTGAGTTATTCCTCCTCAGCCTTTTCTTTGGTCTGTGGGTAAGGGTCTCCATCCATATTAGAAACGCCCCGCTCCCTTGGCACTGTGAACTTACCACAGCTGTTCCACAGAAATCCTGAAGGGATCTGTCATTCAGTTCCTGAGTAGGGATACGGTGACACAGATCAGAGCAGTTTAATTCTGGCTCCATATCATCAGATCCCTTCCTGAGTCTGGAGTCAGTCACATCTTTGGTGTGGAGGCAGATCCTTGACCAAAATGCAACTGCAACCCAGGTCTCTTCATCATCAGAAGTACTGTGTTGGAATTGAAACCCGGAGGTCTCACTTCTTGGTACTGTGGTACCATTTCACCACTCCCTTCATCATAACTCTGGTATCTCCCCCAGTTTGCTGTTGCTAGATGTCTGAGCAGTGGTGCATCTGTTTAACCATTAGGACTGTGTAGACTGACCAACATGATGGTGACTTTCTTTTGCCACTAGGTGGCAGGCACTGCCACAAGTACCCCAGGACTGCCCCAGTGGCAAGGGGCCATCCATCATTAAACCTGCAAAGAAACAAAGAATGATTCTTTTTTTTTTAACGTAGATAAAGTTGACGTTTACAATTGAATATAAGTGGAAATGTGTTTTGCTTGACTACACATGTATAACCTATAAGCCAAATTGGAGAAAGGGAGAAAATTTAGAACTCAAAATTTGAAAAATGAATGTTAAATTTTTTTACATGTAATTGGGAAAAAATAAAATGTCAAATTACAATTGAATGTAAGACATTTCCACAGTTTCTATTCAGGTCTATATTTTTATGGCTCTTGTTACAGTTAAAAAACAAAGCAAAAACAGGCCACGCCCTCCAAGAGAAGAGATTAGAAAACAACGTGCACTTCCATCTTGGGCCGTTCTTAAGAATAAAGTAACATCTTGGCACTGCCAAAGAATTTACTGTTCAGTCAATGCTGGTTGGTGAGTTTCCTGTCCAACCTGGGTTGATTTTGTCCTCAAAGTGGCTATACCTGAGCAGAGTGCTTGAACTGACTTTCTGGCTCTTTGAATAATGGAAGAGAGAAAGGCTAGTTGAGAGAAGAAAAATGAATTAGGGCATTCTAAGAATTCCAGCTGAATGAACAGTCAGAGGAGGCCGGCAGGATGGCAGTAAAATGACTGAAAAAAACTCAGTGACATTCTCTCATCTCTCTCTTTCATTGACGAAAGGAGAGCAGGAAAGCTGAAAATAACAAAGCAACAGCCCCAGTAGTCTGAACGGAGACGTACCCCTAATCCTTTATACAAATAATTTATAGATATAGAAAATAGCTCACAAGTTTTACTGTCAGTTTGAAAGCAGGTGCCATTTCTTTCATGTGGTCTTCAAATGACTTAGCAAATTCTCTTTGACTATGAAGGTGAATTGGGTGAGGGCAAAGACATCAACTTTTATTGATTTATCAGCAGTGGGGTACGGGGCCCATTGAAAATCAGGATATTTGGGAAGGGCATACAATGCCATCCCTGCATCCCTTGTGCATGGGCAAGAACAATGTAGCACCAGATGCTGAGCGGTCACTGGCCTCTTCTGGGTTGATGAATTATTTAGCAGCTGGCCACAATGGAATCCCTAGGGAAATGTGTCCCCTATCCCCTATCAAGGTCAGCTAAATCATTCTACAGTCTGGAGAAGTGCTGACTGGGAAATGAAATAAACATAGAAACCCATACCATTTGCTAGCATCATATTCAGGTTGAAATTTTAATTGCGCACCAGTCACAAATTCTGCAACACAGTTCCCATGGCAACTAGAACTTACAGCCAGACAGCTCCTTGTTTTTGTCTTGTGGAATAGAGAAGAAAAGGCTCACAAACATCTGGGTGTGCCACCTGACAGTCTGGAAAAGCAGCCCTCTTTTTCCTATGCTGCTACTCTAATCACACTTGGTAAATGGCTCCATTCAAACAGAACCATAATTAAAGTACATATAGAGACATACTTTTTCCTGCATTTGCATTCACAGAAACATATAGATCATCTACAAGCATAATGGCCTCAGACGCTTGCTAAGCTGTGTGATCCTGGGCAAGTCACGTAACCTTTGTTTGCTTCAGTTTCCTCAATTGTAAAAAGGGAACAAAAACAATAACACCTACCTCCATGGTTGTTGTGAGGAGCAAATGAGATAATATTTGTGAAGTGGTTAGCACAGTGTACGGCATATAGTATGCACTTAATAAATGCTAGCTATTATCATCATTATTATTATTGTTGTTGTTGTTGTTGTTATTGTTATACCTCTAGGGGAAAGGCAGTATAGTTGGACTGTTGGCCTCTCCCAGAGGACACTTAATGACCTGATGTCACTACCTAGATGGGAAAGGGAAAAGCATTTATATAGCACCAACTATGTGCTAGGAACTATGCTAAGTGCACTACAAATATTATCTTGTTTTATCTCACCCTCACAAAAACCCTGAGAGGTAGGTGCTATTACTATCTCCATTTTACAATTGCAGAAACTGAGGCAAATAAAAGTTAAGTGACACGCCCAAGGTCACAAAGCCCATAAGTGTCTGAGACTGAATTTGTACTCGTCTTCCTGACTCCAAGCCCAGCACACTATCCACTGTGCCACCTAGCTGCCTCAAAATATCATTCCTTGCATTTTACATTTGAAGATGCTGAGGCACAGAGAGCTGAGGTAAGTTACCCAGGGTTATACAGTTAGTAAGTGTCAGAGCCAAGATTCAAATCCAGATCTTTCCTGTGTCCAAATCTAGTACTTTTGCCACTACACCACACTGATATAGGACCCAGTTACAGTGGTGGCCTACTGGACATCTTCACAGTAGAGGACTGTGTACTGAGTCATAGAAAGTAAACTAGTTCTGCAAAACTCCATGACCACTCAGGCTACAAGAGAAGCCATGGCAGAGCCACTTCTTGTCTGGGCTAGACTTCAGAATACATGCCAATGGTGCCTTTTCATTAGGCTCCTTCCACTGGACTGGCTATCTGGTGGCATGGTGTCTCTTCAGTCACTGGCCACCTCCCAAGGTACGTTCTGAAATTCCCATCTTCTATTAAAACCTCCTGTCCTTCCATCACGCCCTCTGTTTTACTCCTCCTCAACCTAAATTTCATTACTACTTCCAGTTTTGCCATTCCTTCTTGTTTTCCCAGTCCATCACTCCTGTTCTCTGATCTCCCTTGTCTCCTTTCAGTCTGGCCCCTCTAGTTAACCAATTCACCTACATCGGTAGCTCTCAGGGTATGGTCTGGGGACCCCTGGTTGTCATTAAGATCATTTGGGGGGTCTATAAAGTCAAAACTATTTTACAATAATATTGACATTTTAATTTCTAAAACATTAAATGCTAATACATATAACCCATATGAACAAAAACTCTTTGGAGGGTCTAAATAACTTTTAAGAGTATAAGGGGGTCATTTTTATTATATTGGCCTTGCCTACCCATGAACAATTACTATTTCTCCAATTATTTAAATCTGATTTTGTTTGTATAAAAAAGTTATATAGTTCCTGGGTTCATTTTGGCAGGCATACTCCCAGGTATTTTATACTGTCTAGAGTTATTCATGAGACCAAAAATTTGAGAACCACTGACCTATGCATTGCCTACCATCCTTGACCCACTTACCTCTTTTTCCCATCCTTTGTTAACACCCTGATTATTCTCAGCCCTAGATTATTTTCACTTTCTTCCTTCTTCACTCCTACTTCTTGACAAGGCCAATGTCATACTACCTGCATCCTTCATTCCATTTTCTCTAAGAGCCTGCTCCAGTAATCATACTCTCATCTTTCTCTCATCTTCACTCTCTCCCTATCTACTGGCTTCTTCCCCCCTTGCTTATAGAAAAACATATCCTTTAAAAAAAGTCCTTTACTTGACCCTTGCAACTTCATTATTTATTCCTACCCAGATACCAAATACCCTCCCACAGCTGAACTTCTAGAAAGAATAGTCTCCACTCATTCCTTCTACTTCCTCACCCACTCACTTTCTTCTCAGCCTCCAGTAATCTGGCTTCCAGTCTCACACTTCTACTGAAATTGCTGTCTATGAAGTTACCAATGATCTTTAACTTCTGGATCCAGAGGCCTTTATTCAATCTTATTCTTTCTGCAGCTTTTGATATTGCTGATTACCCCCTTTTACTCAATATCTTCTTCCTTTTTAGCTACCAAGAGTCTATTCTCTCTTGGTTCTCTTTCTATACAGCTTTCCAGATGGCAGAGTAAGAAGTAAGTCACTCTTACCCTCCCTTATTAACCTCTGAAAGCCCAGAAAATATCACCCTAGGAAAAACTTTGGGACAGCTGAACCAGAAGAAAGATGGGGTGCAGCAGTCCAGTAGCCCAGGTAGCTTGAGGGATTAATAGGAAAGGCCCCTCTTGCCCTGAGGGAAGGGGAGCAGTACAGAACAGGAGGTGTCCCAGCAAGCTAATGGAAAGCCCCACCTCAGCATACCAGAAGGAGATCCTGAAACCCAGGTGGTGGAACAGGCAAACACCAACACCTGGACCCCTGAGTGCCTCAGTGAGGGCACGGGAAACAGTAGAAACCAGCTTGGAAAACCACCAGGTGCCTTGGCATTCTACAGCAACTGGGTATCCCAGTGCCTCAGCCAAACTAAGGGAAGCAATGCTCCAAGGGGCCCCAAGGGGCCCCAAGGGGATAAACACCCTACAATATCCATTTGAAAGGAGCTGAAGAAAACGAAAGGAAGGAAAGGCCCAGGTGAACAGGAAATCTCCAGAAGCCATACTATCCAATCCTACTCCTAGAGTTCCATCCCTGCTGATTCCAGCCCAACACCAGGTAAGCTACCAGAACCCTACAGCCTCCAACTGCCAGCATTGGAGGCCCCAGCACACAAAGCCAGTGACCAGACCCTGGGCTCCCAACACAAGAAGCTTGGGTCAGTGCCCTCTGCTCCCCAGCAGGAGAGCTCAATCTCTTCAAAGGCCCGAAATAACCAGACACCATGAGCAAAAAGAAACGTACGATAGATTTTTATTATGGGAAGAGTGAAGATCAAGGCAGAAATTCTGAAGAAGACAACATTGTCAACAGACCCACATCTGCAACATCAAAAGGGAATATGAACTAGTCTGAAGCCCAAAAAGCCTTCTAAGAAGAGCTCAAGAAGGATTTTAAAAGTCAAATG